CAGAATTTCCAGTTATGACTGCTAGCCAATGTAGCATGAAAGTCAATAAACAAATTTTAACAACCAGAGATGCCCAGAACCTAGGCTCAACTGTTTAAAAGTTGCACATTCAAGAAATTTCTCATTAGTCCGAATCCTAACTTAAAATATGTAAACCCAATCGTGATTTTTATTGGCAATGCCCTGATGGTTAGTGATCATGAGCACCTTTTATGTGCCTACTGGCCATTTGTATTTCATCCTTGGAAAAACACCTGTTCAAATCCTTAGCCTGTTTATGTAAACTTGATTATTTTGTTTTTGCTCTGCTTCTTTTTAGCTCCTTATCCTCTGGATATTAATCCTTTGTATCAGATATATGGTTTACAAATATTTTATCCTACTATTGACAATGATCTCTTCACCATGTTCTGTGTACACCTTTCCTGTAGAAGCTTCCAGAATTGACTTCATTTCATCTGTGTATTAGGTCTTATAGCCTCTGCTTGAACCAGTGTTTTCAAGTGCTTTCCCTATGTTTTCCTCTAGTATTCTGAAGATTTCAGATCTTAGGTTTAGAACCTTGACTCTCTGTGAGTTGATTTTACTATGGGGTATAAAGTAGAGGTTATATCCTATTTCTGTATATGGAGATTAATGTCTCCCAATATGACTTGCTGAAGAGTCAGAGAGTGATTTTTTTAATTTATTTATCTGGGGTTTCTAATCTGTTCCATTGGTGGGCATGCCCATTATAATGCCACACCATGCTGCTTTCTTTGATTAGCTCTTCCCTGTAATATGTCACCTTACCCAGTTAGAATAGCTATCGTCCAAAAATTAAAATAAATGGTGAGACTATGGAGAATAAGGCATCCTAATAAACTGTTGGTGGGAATGTAAATTATAACCCTTATAGAAGACAATATAGAGATTCACATAAAGCCTGTAAACAGATCCACCATGAGATGGCCATCCACCCACAGGAACTCACCCAAATAAAATAAAATCAACACATGAAACAGGTACTTGTACCTCATGTTCACAGCAACTCAACTTACTGAATCAACCCAGATGGCCATCAACTGATGACTGGATAAATAGAGTAAGTAAATAAATAAATATATATAAATATATATTTATATATAAATATATATGTACATATATATTTATATATTTTATATTTATTTATATACACATATATGTCATCAGTTGATGGCTGGATATATAATGCATATATACATATATGTAATGTGTATATATGTTATATATATCATTTATGTGTATATGTATATATGATGAAACCCTTTGAAAAACCATGGATAAAATTGGAGACTATTAACATAGAGCACAAAAATACAAAGTAAATGAGTAAAACCAACATCCTGAGATTCAATTATTGCTTTTATAGCTTTGGTCTATAGGCCTTGGGGAGTAGCAATTTTTCTAACTACTACTTGTTGGATTTTTTAAAACATTTTTAAGGATTTATTTAATTATTTTTACTGGAAAGGCAGATTGACAGAGAAGGAGATGCAGAGATAACTTTCATCCACTGGTTCACTGCCCAAGTGGACACAATGGCCAGAGCTGAGCCGATCCAAAGCCAGGAGCCAGGAGCTTCTTCCCAGTCTCCCACGGGGGTGCAGGGTCCCAAGCCTTTGGGCTATCCTTTACTGCTTTTCCAAGCCACAAGCAGGGAGCTGGACTTGAAGTGGATTAAACACAAACCAGCACACACATGGGATCCCAGCACATTTAAGGCAAGGATTTAGCCACTAGACTATTGTGCCAGACCCTGGACTCTTTCATTCAGTGGGGGATTAAACCTGTCAACATAAAGTACACTGAAAGTATGTTATAGATGGCTAAAGGTATAACTGTGTACCAGACCCTGGCTACTAGCTACTGGCTGCAAGTTGGTCAAGAAACCAGAAGGCATACTGTGACAAAATTAACAAGAAATCTGAAAATAGGTGTTTTATAAAGACTTCTCCATGTGTACATCCCATTTCCCATATAAATGGGAATAACAGTAAAAATAATCAGGTAAAAATTATATTTAGGTAGCAGTCTCTTTTCACTCATCCTATGCTTTCAATGGCTTAGTTGGTGACCACCGCAGCAGTAATGAATCTCACACATGAGCTCAACAAGATGACTTGCACTTACACAGGCTAATCTGACTACTGCCTCTGCTATGTTCCCAAATTATGAAAGCAGCAAACAGTGCACCACCATCTTAACACCCTTTCCTAGAGGAAAATAAGAGATCATCCAGTTAATGAATCATTTCCACAAAGGAAAAGGCAGTACGTTGTTCTCATTGGAATAAAAATGCTTTATTTTTAAGACTTTTTTTTTTATTGGAAAGGCAGATTTACAAAGAAAAGATACACAGAGAAAGACCTTTCTTCATCCACTGGTTCACTCCCCATGAGGCTACAATGGCCAGAGTCAAGCTGATTCAAAGCCAGGAGCCAGGAGCCTCCTCCAGGTTGCCCATGAGGGTTCAGGGTTCCAAAGCTTTAAGGCCATCCTCCACTGGTTTCCCAGGTCACAATCAGGGAGCTTGTTGGGAAGTGACACAGCCAGTGCACAAACCAGCACCCATGTTAGATCCCAGCACAGATAATTTTAGCCACTGAGCCATCACATTGGGTCCAAAAATTTCTTTTAAACTTCCTTTACTTCCCTGTAACTTTTATTATAACATACATTATCTATGGACTAGCAGAGTGTTTTACACAGCATCATGGATGCCACATATCCCAATTTAGTAAAACTTTATTGAAACAAAGGGCTCATGTTCATTGGACTCATCTGGTTACATTAAGTTCCCCATTACTGATAAAAAATGGCATCATGTTTTTGTTTAATATTAGTTGTGACAAAAGTTTACACTATCAGCTTGCAATGCTGAGGTACTCTTCCACAATGCTAGATATGGTCTAAAAAAACAACATACTCATGTTGCTATTTTCCCTGGGCTAGGATTAATGAGATTCAGGAAAGGAATCATTACCACTACCGATTTCCTAGAGCAACATTCATCTCCTGTTCTCCTGACTGCAGATTTTACTGGCCTTCACATCTTAGGCTTACACCAGGGTTCAAGAAAAGGGGGCCATTAAACTGGAAATTAAAATGTCATATTGAAAAAAGGTTTCAGTTTATGAGTTGTAGCATTTTAGGTACAAGGATGCCTATTATTGTCTTTATTTGAAATGCAGGTGTGGTCACAAAAGTTTTCATGGATATAAAATTGGCACGGTGAACGTAACAGTAGTTTTCTAACTATCCATTACGCTGAATTCAAAGTACTTTTTTCTCCCCTTCAGATACAGCTTCTCTCGAGCACAAGATGAAAATCTATGAAATAAGGAAGATGGAGATGAAATGCCAATCATTTTATACCTATCTTAAAGCACCAGGAACCACAATAGCTTTTCTAATGATGCCAATCATCTGGCTTGCCCTGTCAAAAAGGAAAGGTTCCTGGGCTTACAGTTATTCAAACACCCTGTTATTCTTCAACTCCTCATTGGGTCAACTGCATATATGGATTTACAGTGAAAGGGTGCTGCTTTCCAGCAGATCATGTCAATCATTTTACTTAAGAACAATGAGAGGCAGGCACAAGTTCCAGTTTGTATTCATGATTACAATGTGTCCTTCCCAGTTCTCATTGGTCCTAGCTCTATCTCTAGCTTTCTTCATTTGTTGTAAATCTTTAATATCAGAGAGAGGCAATAGGCTTGTAAAAAAATTCTCCATGAATTTCTACAATTGTATTCAATCTAATTCCTATCATTAATCCCTTATTCTATGTTATTTAGATGGAATCTGCCTCTGATTAAACACTGGTCAATACAATTAGTATGCAGAATATGCAAAACGCTTCTGCAAATGGGTAAGAAAAACAATTGAAAAGTGCTAGAAGAAATAGAAAACTCAGACTAGGGAACTCGAAGGAAGATCTCTTTCTGTAACTCTGAGTTTCAAATGAATAAATCAACAAATTAGGGAATAAATAAAAAACATTTTAAGCCACTGAGTTTTTGAAATATTTGTGAAACAACAATAGTAGCTAATATGATCTTCAGTCATCACTGCAAACTGAAGTGGTAAACAAGTTCAGTTAGCTTAAGTCACTCAACAAATCCTCTAAAAGCCTAATACAGCAGGTCCTGTTACAGGAATAAAACCATGAAAAACATCCCAAGACCTATGCTTCTGAAGAGTTTCACCCCCAAGAATAACACAACATATAAACAAAGCTGATCTTATGCTGCTGATGATGATGAAAACGAAACATGTAAGGAAACACACGAAAGCAAGGCAAAGTTGTGGCTGTAGTTCTGCAAAGAATAAACAAAAGCTTTCTCCAGAAAGCGGACACATGACTAAAACCTAGAGATGTGTAAGACAGCAGATCCTGCATTATCAGAAGACATGCAAACCATGCAAAGGGATGAACCAATGGAAACATGCTAATGCAGGGAGTGAACTGGCCACTACAAGATCTAGTGGATTTATGTGTCTCCCTGATAACTTCAGCTTTAAGTGGAAAGTCAAATGGGAAGAAGATGGGTGTGGAAGAGATGAGTGGCCTCACGAGATTACATTTTAAAATATTCACTCTCATTGCTGTGGTTAAAAAAAAAAATCATCATAAATGGTGGAGGATGGAGGCAGGAGCTTTGGGTAAGAGCAAGTGCAGAAACAGGAAATCAGCTAAAAATGTTCTTATAATAATACAAGTCACCACATGATATTTCAGATCATGCTGGGAAAGATGAAAAATCATCAGTATACAAACATGATTTGAAGATTCAACAGGATTTGTCAGTCAATCTGTCAGCTATAAAGATGTTTTACCCACTGAATGATACCTACCTAGTACGTATCATTAAACCAAAAGAATCATACTTCATTAATACTACTTTGTAATATTTGTTATTCATAATCCCCATAATCTATACTCATTACTACTGTATCACTTGTAGGCACTATAATTATTATTTTCAAAGACTGACAGTATTTTATTTCTTCAATTACTTTCTCTTTAATGAACAGCAGAAATGTTTACATGACAAGTTGTTTTTGAGACAATTCTGTTAGAGCAACTGAGACAGTTACTCCTCATTCCACTGCACGGGGGTAACTCTGCCAACAGGGGATAGGTTCCATTCTATTCCCATCTGGGTGGTTAAGAAACCCCACGTGACAACACAAAAAGCCGCCCCACTGGCTAGCACAGCATTGCCATATTTCTCATGAAAATCCAGGGAGCATTTCGTGTGGTTCTGCCTTGCCATAATTTGCTGAATGTTTCGAATCTTGAGCCCACTAAGTGCATTTTTGACCAAAAGAAACATCATGATGTGATGGGCTTGCAGCTGCTGGCAGCTACTTGTTTTTCTTGTGGCAAAGAGACCTGGAAAAGCAAACAAAAAGGGGGTTTAAGACATAATGTCCCATATTCAATTTCTTGCTCTTTAAAGTTTTGAGCATACTATGCGTCCAATGAGTTGGTAATCAGGTATGTGAGCTTTAATATAATGCTATACAGGTTTCATTTTAACCCTCCTACTGTTAGCTATGTGGAACTGGGAAAATCATAATTTTTCTTTGCCTCACTGTTCTCACTGGAAAACAAAGACAGGGCTTAGTCCAACTCATAGGCATGCAGTAGGCTTACAAGATAATCCAAAACAAAACAGCAAAGTAACGACATGAAGTCAATGGCAACTTTTCTGCTTACAAAAAATATCCAACGCTTTGCTCTGCAGACTCCAAGCTTACAGTATGGATAGAATGGCTATTTACGTTCACACCCACCTTTCCCCATTAGAGAAACAACCTACCATATATTTACCATCAATGTTAACTTTGTCAACAGTAGAAGGACATTCAGAATCTTTACTATTGTGGGAGACTTAGCCAGAAGAATCTCCCCTGAAGGACCACCAGCAATTGATATGGAGATGAATGAGCATGAAACCTTCTGGTTCACAGGTTTAGATAAATACCTGCTAGAGGACTGGGAGATTGTCCCTTGCTGTTGAGATGTAAATGGCTCAAACCCCTCCTCCCTGGATGCCTACCAGACAACCTTCTTTAAAAGTCTGATGCTGATAATAAACTTTGGCTACTGGCCACCAGTCAGTAGCCCACAGGTTATTATTGTCTCCATGCACCAAATTGTTCGCTGCAGGACAGCGAACAGTCAACAACCACAGGGCAACCACAGTCACACCTCCAGTTTTTCCTGCTCCCTTTTTTCCTCTTGGTTAACACCACTCCTATTCTGCCACCTTTCTATCTATAATACCATCCTGTTCCTATCTACAAACTGAATTCCACTGGCCTTAAAAACATCTCAGCCTAAAAGTTAGCATTTTTGTGACGTCTTCTCGAAACTCCTACAGGGTGAACATAGCTGCCACACATTCTTTAATCCTTCTTAACAGCATCTAGTAGGAAGCATTGTTGTTTTCTAAAAGTTACTTTTAGAGAAGTACGTATTCACAGCAAAACTGACCATACAGGACAGAGGTTCCTTATAACCTCTGACCCCACACATCCAACAGCTTCTCTAAATACTGCCAATTTTCATTAGCATGGGATACAACTATTGAGTCTACACTGGCACATTGTTATCCTATAGGGGAGACAGGTATTCCATAGATCCTGGTCCAGGCTGGATTATGCATATGTCTACTATTACAGTATGATACAAAGTAGCTTAACTGTCCAAAACTCCTTTGTTTTCTGCCTCTTCATTCACCTTTCAGCTTTGTCCTCTAATTTGTAGAAACCAGACTATGTTCTTATTTCTACAGTTCTGCCCTTCTCAGAATATATGGAATTACACAATAGTTGTCTTTTAAATTTATTCCTTCAAGCTAGTAACATACACTTAATATTCACTCCTATTTTTCATGGACTGATACTTATTTGTAGTGTTAAATACTACTCCGTTACTGGTATGAATCTCTATTTTACTGAACAACATTTGCTTGCTTACAAATTTTGAGTATGAATTAAGTTCTGTGTGGGTTTCTAGGTGGGCAAGTTTTCAACTAATTTGGGTAAGTATCCAGGAACACAAATTCTGTATCATGATAATGTTTGGTGTTGCAACAAACTGCTGAACTGTATTCCAAAATGATCGAACTATTTTGTACTCCAAAGATGACTGAACTAACGAAGAGGCTTTCTGTTACTCCCCATCATGTCACCATCACTCGTGGTTTAGATTTCTCAGTGTTTGATTTGCAATCCCATAATGGTTCCTCCAGTGCCGCACTTAATATGCTTATTTCTTATCTGTACGCTGCAATTTTGGTAGTGTCTCCTTTTCTTGAAACATCCATTTTTAAGCCTGGATGTTCATTTTCTTGTGGTTGGATTTTAAGACTCTTCCTAAGCTCTGGATGACAGTGTATTATGAGATACATCCTTTCCATATTTTCTCCTGGTCTGTGCCTTGCCTTGTCACTCTTGTTTTCTTCCATGTGAACAGTTCTTTATTTTTAATATAGAGAGAATAGGTTTTCTGCATTCCACAGGCACAGTTCCAAGAAGATGACCACACTTCCCTCCTTTCCCAGCTCCCTCTCAATCTCTTCATCCATTCTTCACTGACATAATTTTAATTCACTCTATACTTGTAAGATTAAGCCACTACTCTTATTTATAATTTCCATAGAAAACTCCAGTGTTTTCTGTATATCACCTAGAAGCAAAAGTTCTGGCACACATAGAGAAGAAAGTCTGATCCAAATTCTAGTTTTTGTGATAACTTTGAGCTACCCACAGTGTTGGCTACTGCTTCTGCTTGATTCAATTAAGGCACCCAGAAGACTGGTGTTGGATTTTGATGGTCTGATGCTGCCTCATCTCCACAACCATGTCTTCCTTTCCTGAAATGAGTTAGTTAGCTGAGAAGTGCCGTTTTCTTTAGGAAATTATCAACCATAAGCTTTTTCTAAGGCATTGTTGACTTTGACATTCTTTTATTCAAGTTTTAACAAAAATTTGATGCCTTTTTTTAAAAAGGGACTTACTAATTTATTTGAAAGTCAGAGTTACAGAAGTTCAGACAGTGGAAGAGGGAGAGAAAAAGATCTTCACCTGCTGGTTCACTCCCAAATGGCCACAACAGCCAGAGCTAGGCCCATCCAAAGCAGAAACCAGGTACTTCTTACAAGGTCTCCCACATAGGTGCAGGGGTGGGGCTCAAGGATCTGTGCTGCCTTTGGCTCTTTTCCTAGGTACCTTAGCACACAGCTGGATTGGAACCAGGGCAGTCGGGATAAGAACAGGCATCTGTCCACAAAGACTTTGGGCATCAAAGGCAGCAGCTTTAGCTGCTATGCTACAGTGCTGACCTCAACAATATCTGGTTTTTGTTCTTGTTTCAGTTTCAGTAGAATTCAGATTGCTTTGAGAATTTAGGTTGCTTTCAAACTGACATCTTACTCTTAGTATTTTAAACTACCCACTTTTCAGACATATTATAATTTAGTATGGGGGAACAGAGGGTTAAGCTGCCCACTTAATGATGCTGGCACTTCATATGAGCACCAGTTCAAGTTCTGTTTGTTTCATTTCTTATTCAGTTCACTGTTTAATGTGCCTGGAAAAGCAGGAGCTGGTCCAAAAGCTTGGGCCTCTGCGCCTATGTGGGATATCTGTATGGAGTTCTAGGATCCAGGCATTATTCTGGTCCAACCTTGATCACTGCAGCCATTTGTGGAATGAATTAGCAGGTGGAAAGTCCTTTTTCTCTCTCCCGCTCTCATTCTTGCTCTGGTTTCTAACATTTTCGTAAATAAATCCTGTTTTAAAGGTTATCATGGTTTATTTTAATAAAAACTTTTAAAATCTTTACAGTTTTTATTACTACCATTTTGATGTCTGTTTTTAATGGAGAGGGTGAGAATAATAACAGAGAGAGAGAGAAATAGAAAGAGAGAAATGTTGTCCATCTACTGGATCACTCCCCAAGCAGGAACAATGGCCAGCCTGTTCCAGAATGAGACCAGGAGTCTATAGCTCTTCCCAGGTCACCCTAGCTGGTGGTGAAGTACCAAATACTTGAGACATTATCCACTGTTTTCCCAGGTGCTTTAACATGAATTTGGATCTGAAGCAGACTAGCTAGGACTTGAATCAGCACCCTGCTGTAGATGTCAACATCCCAGGCAGCAGCTCAGTGCCCTGTGCCGTATCCCTGACTACTGAAACCATACTACTTTCCATGCACTTTCTGAACCGCCTCCTCTCTTACCAGCATTTACAGAACCGCATATAACTTAATACTTTTGGTTTGAAAATTTCATTGTGAATGGAGGAGTAATACTGTTTATTGCAACCATAGTGGCATCTAAACTCTACTCGTTAAATATCAGTAATAATATTTTCCAGTTTGACACCATAAAAATTTCCAACATTGCCAAATACCACCTGAGGAACAAGTCCTAGTTGAGAACCATCATGCTATACAGAGATAGGTATCTACTCTCATTTTCCACTATATATGACACCATATTGTTTAATACAGAAGGAAAGTACCTTGCTAAGAAATTGTGTTCTCCTCCTCTCAGTAAAGGAATGTAAAAACCATCCATTAATATTTTTGTTAATCAATAATATTCAAAATGCACAGTAAAATAACCTAGATGAATAGTTTATTCATTTGGATATCTGTACCTTCCATGAAAAATAATAAATGTTGAACTAATTTTTCTTTTCCCAAACATGCCTGTCGCAAAGAATTTTTGGATATTTTGCTACGAATGCTTTCTGGTCTCCATGTCAAATGTACCATAATTACACATTCAGAGAAGCAGCCTGAGAATCTGTACCCCTGAGTGATCAAGAGACTTACCATCAGATATGTATTACCCAGTGCCAATAATCTACACCTTTCCAAAGGAAAAAACATCTATAAAAGACTACTTATTTTGTAGGCAACTGAAAAGGCACAGGGCTAACTGGATTCACCACCATCAGTGACCTGCAAGAGTTACAGGGACCCTTCAGGAGTAAGTCAAGCAACAAAAACATCCAGCTGTATTGAAGGATACACTTTAAATATAGCTGTATTTAAGGATACTGTATTTAGGCTAACCGTACTGGAACACTACTCAATTGCAAGACCCTCATCTCTACCTGTTTTTATTTCTACTCTTTTCTTTACAGCTTCAAAATATCAATGTAAAAAAAAAACCATTAAAGAGGCTATCTTCAGAAACGAAAATGCACATAACCTGCAGTGTCTTCAATCCTTTTATGTGTTTGTCAGATGCAATGATGCTCAAGGAGGGATTAGGTGTATAAAGGACAAACTGTCTCCCATCAGGACTACTTAAGTTTTCAGGGTTTCACAAAAGGAAATATGAGAAGCTTGCACAAAGCAATGCTGCT